ATTACTTACTCAATAATTTTAATTATGTAAAAAGCTCGTAAAACATAAATAACTTAAAATGCCCTAAAATATATTTACATGTTATATATGTTTATTGGTTATTTGCCACTCAGCTTTGCTGAGCGTGTAGTTTTTTTACTGCACGCAGGTACTAGCAAGGGGAACGACTGCTGAGGAGGATAGCTTAGACGTGGAGGCCGTGCCAAAGGAGTTTTTATTTAATATTTAATAGGGAATAAAACGACGAACTAAATTTTACTTTGTTTTTGGGTTTGAACCCAAGGTTGTATTAACTGTGGATATTTTACTTTAAATTTACGCGGTAAACGATTTTTTTAAATTCCCTTTAGTTATCAAAAAGAGAATATATTTTTTTTGAAGAAAAATATTTTACAAGTAACCCGGTTTTACTAGCACTCTGGTCTGGATGACTCGGGTCATCTAGGGTGGGGTGTTACATTTTGGTATCAAAGCAATTGGTTTATAAAATAATCTTCTGACCTAACTGTAAAAAAAGGAATTGAGGAAAAACATTTGATGGAAAAGAAATAAGAGAATGAAAAATTATTTTTTTAAAAAAAAAAATGTGTTCTACCGGTACGGCCACGTCTCAATGCTTCCTCGAAGCAGGTATTCCTTTCTAGAGCTCTTATATGTTATTATTAATGTTGTTGTTGTTGTTGTTATAGAAAATAGAATAAAATAAAATATATTGTTGTTATTCATTAGCACATAGATGGTCTATGGGCGTGACGGAGTCGTGTCAAGCATAGACTCTAGCAAAACCGTCGTTATACCAAACAAGAAGAAGAAGTTTAATCAGAAAGGAGGACCTGGCTCTCGCCGCTCTAATTCACGGCAAGATCGTAGAAATGCACGCAGAGCAAAGAGACGTAGACGCAGAGGTGTCACCAAGGAAGAATGGAGCTCTGTAGGAACTTCGCATAGCATCTGCGAGGGTTTCGCACAGGAGCCTGCAGTGGACAAGCCATGAAGAACTTTTGAACGTTATTTATTTACACGCGCATTAACTAGTTTCTCTTTTGAGTTCTTATGTTATGAATATGTTGGTGCTCAATAAATCCCTAAATAATGAAAGTCTTTTAAAGATTTGTGCCTCGTGCTTGAAAAAAAAAACCTGAATGAATCAATATTTCATTTATAGAATGGAGAATGACGCGCAGTCAGAGTCAGCAAGTGCTCCTAGCCGGAGCAGTGCTGAAGTTCAACATAGGAACCTAAACATGAATCAGATTGCACAAACTTTGGAGGCAATGAGGCAATATTTCCAAGAGGAGGTGCCAAGAAATCCCAAACCGCCAGCCTGGACGGTTGACAGTTTGAAGAAAAATGGGGCAAAAGAATTTTTAGGGGCAAAGTCCGATGAAGGTGAAAAGGCAGAGTTTTGGTTAGATCGGATCATGCGTGTACATACCGACATGCTGGTTCCAGAAGAGCATCGAGTACGTTTGACCTTAGCCTTACTACAAGATGATGCATACTACTGGTGGAGCAGTGTACCTGGCAAGCCGGATCCTATAACTTGGGAATTCTTCGAGGAGGAATTCAAAACAAAGTATATACCGCCCTGGTATATTGAAGCCCGACGACAAGAATTCATAGACCTGCGACAGGGTTCAATGACCCTTGATGCTTATAACCATATGCACACTAAGCTAAAACGTTACGGGCCGAAATTGGTGGCAACACCAAAACAAGAATGCACTAAGTTCTTGTTAGGAATGAACCCTAAGTTAATGGGTTTGATGGGATGACGGTTGTGTCTACTAAAGTTTCAGAACACCCGGGTCCGGGTTTTACGAGTTGAAAACGACTTATCCTAGCTCTTCCAGTTACTTTTCCTCTGTAGCTGTTGACACGGTAGTCCTCCTCGCTCCAGCCGGGGTTGTACAGTTTCACACCCTACAACATTCCCCGCACCATCTGGGTCCAAGAGGAATTTCAGTGGTCCGAATAGCTCTCACTTCCAAAAGAAGGCAAAATCTACTCAAAGTGTAAACCGCTCCCAAGCAGCTAGTAGCGCACCAAGATTTGAACCTGCCCCGACTTGTGCTACCTGTGGGAAGGCGCACCGAGGAGAGTGTTGGCTTGCTAAGGGTTTGTGCTTGGGTTGCGGAAAGGGAGGTCATTTTAAAAAGGATTTCCCTACAAACCCCGGTCGGGTACTCTTCTCAAAGGGAGGAGAAAAACAGCAGTCAGCTCCGAATCGTCCAAAGCCCACGACAAGCGGGTCTGTCAATCAGAAAGGTGGACAAGCACCAGCTAGGACTTATGCTATGATGGCACGTGAGGACCAAGCAGGTACCGATGTAATTACCATTTTAATTTCATTATGTGCGACTGAGGTCTGAGCATTAATAGATCCTGGATCTACACTGTCGTACCTTTGTGTCAAAATACCTGAGATACCTGGTCTTGCGAGGGAGAGGTTAGTTCACCCGGTGATCGTGTCTAACCCGCTCGGTCATAGTATGACACTGAGCTATGTTTATCGTCGTTGCCCTTTATTCTCTATGGGAAGACAATTTGATGCAGACCTTATCGAGCTTCCTTATAGGGAATTCGACGTCATATTGGGGATGGATTGGCTAACTGCACACAAAGCAATCGTAGATTGTGGGTCAAGGACTCTACAACTCAAAGCTGAAGATGAAGAAAGAATCCTGATAACGGGTGACTTGCCACCAAGGGCACCGCAGTTCATATTGTTGATGCAAGCAAAGAGACTGGTTCGAAAGAAATGTGAGGCATATTTGTGCAATGTCCGGGATACCCAAAAAGAAGGGATAGAGTTGAAAGACATTCGGACAGTATGCGACTTTCCGGATGTATTTCCAGAAGAGCTACCAGGGGTACCACCTCCAAGAGAAGTCGAGTTTTCAATTGATTTGTTGCCCGGTACCAGTCCGATATCGATAGTGCCCTATCGAATGGCTCCTACCGAGATGAAGGAATTGAAAGCGCAGTTGCAAGAGCTTCTTGATAAGGGTTTCATCCGGCCAAGTGTCTCACCTTGCCCTCGTGGTCACAATAAACACTTCTTCTTCCTACCCAGCTACTCCAACACATAGCTGATGGCCGTTAACTTGTTCATATGCCACTTCTTATCTATGGGCGATGGTTCTTATCTACTGAACAAACTGGTTGAAGCCCCTCATAGCCAAAAGAGCTTCTATCTGGAGTCCAGTCCCATAGTGGTTGATGGTCACTTCTTCGAGGACATTCCAAAAACGGCGTTTCGGACAAGGTATGGCCACTACGAGTTTACTGTGATGCCGTTTAGGTTGACAAATGCCCCGGCGGTCTTTATGGAACTCATGAACAGCATCTTCCGACCATGTTTGGATCAATTTGTGGTGGTCTTTATTGATGATATTCTGGTTTATTCTAAGTCACCTGAGGATCATGACCGGCATTTGTGTATGGTGTTGGAGATTTTGAGGAAAAACAAGTTGTACGCCAAATTATCCAAATGTGAATTTTGGTTAAAGGAGGTGACTTTTCTCGGACACATCGTGTCGGCGGAAGGAATTAAAGTAGACCCATCCAAGATAGCTGCAGTAACTGAGTGGAAGCCTCCCAGGAACCCTAGGGAAGTAAGAAGTTTCCTAGGATTGGCTGGATATTATCGCCGTTTTGTGAAAGGTTTCTCATCAATAGCATCTCCATTGCATAAGCTAACTCGGAAGGATGTGAAGTTCGTATGGACAGAAAAGTGTCAAGAGAGTTTTGATCGGTTGAAGAAGTGCTTGACAGAGGCACCAGTGCTTACTCAGCCAACTCCAGGTGTAGGCTATACTATGTTCACCGATGTTTCTCATTTTGGGCTGGGATGTGTATTGATGCAGGAAAGGAAGGTTGTGGCCTATGCTTCGAGACAACTCAAAACTCACGAGCTCAACTATCCTACACATGATCTAGAATTGGCTGCAATCGTCTTTGGCTTGAAGATTTGGAGACACTACCTCTACGGGGAGCATACGGAGATTTTTACTGATCATAAAAGCCTCAAGTATCTTCCCACGCAGAAAGAGCTTAACTTACGACAGAGGAGGTGGATTGAGCTGATCAAAGATTATGACTGTACCATTGATTATCATCCTGGCAAAGCTAACGTGGTAGCTAATGCCCTTAGTAGGAAAGGGACTCTGGCAGAACTTCAAGTCCAGCCAACCCTCGAATCTGAGATTATTGAGGCTCAGAAACTGGATGAGTTCTGTAAAGACAAAGTTAAAGGGGTGGAGCAAGGTGATCAAACTGAGTATACCCTTGGTGAGAGTGGAGCTTTGTTCTTCCGCGGACGGCTTGTGGTGCCCACAACGGAGATGAGGGAGCGTATCCTTCGGGAGGCGCATGAAACTCGTTATGCAATGCACCCCGGAAGCAACAAAATGTTCCAATGTTTGAGAAGAAGTAATTGGTGGCCGGCGATGAAGCGTGAGATCATCGAATTTACCAGCCGCTGTCTGGTTTGTCAGCAAGTGAAAGCGGAACATCAAGTTCCATCTGGGTTGCTACAACCAATTACTATTCCAGAATGGAAGTCGGATAGGATCACTATGGATTTCGTTACCAGTTTGCCTATGTCACCAAGGAAGCACGACGCGGTGTGGGTGATAGTGGATGGATTAACGAAATCAGCCCACTTTATACCAGTGAATATGGAATTTTCGATGGCTACTTTTGCCGATCGCTATATCAGTCAGATAGTGCGACTTCATGGTGTGCCTATATCCATTATCTCGGATCGAGACCCTAGATTTACCTCGGAGTTTTGGAAGAGTTTGCATAAAGCCTTGGGTACGAAGCTAAGTTTCGGTACAGCTTTTCACCCGCAAACTGATGGACAATCTGAAAGGGTAATCCAGATACTTGAGGATATGATGAGGGGTTGTGTGCTGGACTTCGAGGGTAATTGGGAGAAGTATTTGCCACTTATGGAGTTTTCCTACAATAATAGTTACCAAGCAAGCATAGAAATGGCTCCGTATGAAGCACTGTACGGGCGAAAATGTAGAACTCCAGTCTGTTGGACTGAATTGGGGGAACACAAATTGGTGGGACCCGATTTAGTGCGAGAAACAGAAGAGAAGGTGAAATTCATCCAAGAGAAACTGAAGGCCGCTTTTGATCGACAGAAGTCTTACGCTGATTTGAAGAGGCGAGAGATTAATTATGAAGTTGGGGAGAAAGTCTTTTTAAAGGTATCTCCGTGGGGGAAGCTTCTTCGGTTCGGGAAGAAAGGGAAGCTGAGTCCCAGGTTCATTGGACCGTTCGAGATAACTGAAATCGTTGGGCCTGTTGCGTATCGTTTGGCACTCCCTCCTGAACTTAGCAAGATCCACGACGTCTTTCATGTCTCTATGCTACGGCGATATAGATCGGATCCAACTCATGTGCTCGAGCCTGGAGTGGTAGAGTTGGACGAGAATCTCACTTATGAGGAAGAGCCTGTGGAGATCCTTGATCGAGAAGTCAGACAACTTCGGAGCAAGAGTGTTCCATTAGTGAGGGTCTTGTGGCGGAATCACAAGGTGGAGGAATCCACATGGGAAACGGAGGAGTCAATGCGAAGTCATTATCCTCACCTTTTTCCGGACCACGTCACAGGTAAATTTTGAGGACGAAATTTTTCTTAAGGGGGTGAGAAATGTAACGCCCTGAAAACCGGTCTAGAAATTTTAACTCTTTAGTACAAAGAAATGAAAACAAAAAAAAATAATAGTAATAAAAATATATATATGCGAAAATAATAATAATATAATAATAATAATAACAAAAGTTAAAATTTAAAAAAAATGTTACTATTAGAAACAATCAATTTGGAATTTAATATTAAATGATTAATTACTAGTAGAGATGGAAAAACAACAGAGTAAAGTAGAAGGGAATAAAAAAAAATTAGTTGGGTCTCTACCATTCAAATTAACTTATTTTATTGACAAATAAATTATATTAAAGTGATATGTGAAAAATATGGAACCCAATAATATAGGTTT